AGAGTGGGTATGTGGGTTCTGTTGGGTATAGATTGGGTATGTGGGGTTCTGTTGGGTATAGAGTGGGTATGTGTGAGGTTCTATGGGTATAGAGTGGGTATGTGTGAGGGTTCTGTGGGTATAAAGTGGGTATGTGTGAGGGTTCTGTTGGGTATAAAGTGGGTATGTGTGGGGTTCTGTTGGGTATAGATTGGGTATATATGGGGTTCCTTAGGATGTACTCTCTCTCTCTCTCTCTCTCTCTCTCTCTCTCTCTCTCTCTCTCTCTCTCTCTCTCTCTCTCTCTCTCTCTCATAATCGATTCCTTTTACTATTTAAGGTTCAATTGACTCATGAATTCTCCTCCCACTCCCCACTCCTCCACTCCCCCCTCCCCCTCCCCCTCCCCCCCTCCCCCTCCCCCACCTCCCCTCTTCCTCTCAGATCTTCATGAGTGTGATGTATGCACTCCAGGGAATAGGGACCTTTCTGTTTACCATTGTACCAAGTGCCACAGCAACAACAACCACCACCACTACCAACGGGGGTGACCTCTTCAACGGTACAACAGCTTACGCCATCAACAGTACGACCCACAACAGCAATAACACGACCCTCATTGACGTCATCATCATCAATAACATCAATAACAGTATGGGTGTTATTGATGACCGTTTGAACAGCTCGACGCCAAGAATGGAAGTTGACCCCGAGAAATTGGTCACAACCTTTTGGATATATATGGCTGTGAGGATCACCTTTGGGTAAGTGATGGATAGATGGATAGATGGATGGATAGATGGATAAACAGATAGATGGATGGATAAACATAGATGGATGGATAGATGGATAGATGGATAAACAGATAGATGGATAGATAGATGGATAACCAGATAGATAGATGGATAGATAGATAGATGGATAAACAGATAGATGGATGGATAAACAGATAGATGGATGGATGGATGGATGGGTAGATAGGGTGTCTAAGATAAAATAGATAGTATTTCACTTGTTCCACCTACCAGGACTTCAGTGCCTCCAGGTTGTTCCCACTCACCAGGACTTTAGGGTTCCAGGTTGTTCCCACTCTACCAGGACTCTAGGCAGGTTGTTCCACCACCAGACTTGTGTTACAGGTTGTTCCACCACCAGGATTCTGGCTACAGGTTGTTCCATCACCAGACTTGTGTTACAGGTTGTTACCACTCACCAGGGACTTTGTGTTCCCCAGGTTGCACTACCAGACTTGTGTGTTACAGGTTGTTGCACTCACCAGGACTTGAAATTGCCGTTCACTCACCAGGACTTGTGTTACAGGTTGTTCCACCTCACCAGAATTCTGTGTTACAGGTTGTCTCACCCACCAGGCCTGTGCCAGTGCATGGAGCCAGCCCACCAGACTTGTGTTACAGGTTGTTGCACTCCACTCAGGACTCTGTAAGCTACAGGCTTGCGCCACCTCACCAGGACTGCAGTTCCCAAAGTTGTTGCACTCACCAGGACTTGTGTTACAGGTTGTTCCACCACCAGGACTTGTGTTACAGGCGCTGTATCTACCAGGATCAAATGGCAGGTTGTTCCATCACTGTAATTCTGTGTCTCCAGGTTGTTCCACCACCAGGACTTGTGTTCCAGGTTGTCCCACCCACCAGGACTCCCAGGTTCCAGGTTGCTCCACCCAGGACCCTGTGTGTTACAGGTTGTTCCACTCACCAGGACTCTCAGGTTACAGGCGGCCCACTCACCAGGTTCTCAGGTTACAGGTTGTTGCACTCACCAGGACTCCCAGTTACAGGTTGCTCCCACCTCACCAGGACTCAAACACAGGTTGGTTGCACTCACTGCACCTGTGTTGGTGGTTACAGGCTGTTGCACTCCGCAGTTTGTGTTACATTACTCCACTCACCAGGACTTGTGTTACAGGTTGTTCCACTCACCAGGACTTGTGTTACAGGTTGTTCCACTCACCAGGACTTGTGTTACAGGTTGTCCCACTCACCAGGACTTGTGTTACAGGTTGTTCCACTCACCAGGACTTGTGTTACAGGTTGTTCCACTCCACCAGGACTTGTGTTACAGGTTGTTACCACTCACCAGGACTTGTGTTCCAGGTTGTTCCACTCACCAGGACTTGTGTTCCAGGTTGTTGCACTCACCAGGACTTGTGTTACAGGTTGTTCCACTCACCAGGACTTGTGTTACAGGTTGTTCCACTCACCAGGACTTGTGTTCCAGGTTGTTCCACTCACCAGGACTTGTGTTACAGGTTGTTGCACTCACCAGACTTGTGTCACAGGTTGTTGCACTCACCAGGACTTGTGTTACAGGCTGTTGCACTCACCAGGACTTGTGTTACAGGTTTCCACTCACAGGACTTGTGTTACAGGTTGTTGCACTCACAGGACTTGTGTTACAGGTTGTTGCACTCACCAGGACTTGTGTTACAGGTTGTTGCACTCACGGACTTGTGTTACAGGTTGTTGCACTCACCAGGACTTGTGTTGGGTTGTTCCACTCACCAGGACTTGTGTTACAGGTTGTCCCACTCACCAGGACTTGTGTTACAGGTTGTCCCACTCACCAGGACTTGTGTTACAGGTTGTTGCACTCACCAGGACTTGTGTTACAGGTTGTTCCACTCACCAGGACTTGTGTTACAGGTTGTTCCACTCACCAGGACTTGTGTCACAGGTTGTTGCACTACCAGGACTTGTGTTACAGGTTGTCCCTCACCAGGACTTGTGTTCCAGGTTGTTGCACTCACCAGGACTTGTGTTCCAGGTTGTTGCACTCACCAGGACTTGTGTTCCAGGTTGTTCCACTCATCAGGACTTGTGTTACAGGTTGTTGCACTCACCAGGACTTGTTACAGGTTGTCCCTCACCAGGACTTGTGTTACAGGTTGTTGCACTCACAGGACTTGTGTTCCAGTTGTTGCACTCACAGGACTTGTGTTCCAGGTTCCACTCCTGGTTGTCACAGGTTGTTGCACTCACGGACTTGTGTTACAGGTTGTCCCACTCACCAGGACTTGTGTTCCAGGTTGTTGCACTCACCAGGACTTGTGTTCCAGTTGCATTCACCAGGACTTGTGTTCCAGGTTGTTCCACTCATCAGGACTTGTGTTACAGGTTGTTGCACTCACCAGGACTTGTGTCAGTTTCCTCCACTCTCACCAGGACTTGTGTTGCAGGTTGTTTGCACTCTGGGACTTGTGTTACAGGTTGTTGCACTCACCCAGGACTTGTTGGGTTGTTGCACTCACCCGGGACTTGTGTTGCAGGTTGTTGCACTCACCAGGACTTGTGTTACAGGTTGTTCCACTCACCAGGACTTGTGTGCAGGTTGTCCCACTGGGACTTGTGTTACAGGTTGTCCCACTCACCCAGGACTTGTGTTGGGTTGTTGCACTCACCAGGACTTGTGGTGCAGTTGTTCCTCCTGGGACTTGTCGTACAGGTTGATTTCCACTCACCAGGACTTGTGTCTGTGAGTTGTTGCACTCACCAGGACATGGTACAGGTTGTCCCCACTCACCAGGACTTGTGTTCCAGGTTGTTCCACTCACCAGGACTTGTGTTCCAGGTTGTTCCACTCACCAGGACTTGTGTTACAGGTTGTTCCACTCACCAGGACTTGTGTTACAGGTTGTTCCACTCACCAGGACTTGGGTTACAGGTTGTTCCACTCACCAGGACTTGTGTTACAGGTTGTTGCACTCACCAGGACTTGTGTTCCAGGTTGTTGCACTCACCAGGACTTGTGTTCCAGGTTGTTCCACTCATCAGGACTTGTGTCACAGGTTGTTGCACTCACCAGGACTTGTGTTACAGGTTGTCCCACTCACCAGGACTTGTGTTCCAGGTTGTTGCACTCACCAGGACTTGTGTTCCAGGTTGTTGCATTCACCAGGACTTGTGTTCCAGGTTGTTCCACTCATCAGGACTTGTGTTACAGGTTGTTGCACTCACCAGGACTTGTGTTCCAGGTTGTTCCAGGGCATGGGATACACGCTGTACGAGGCGACTGTTATGGTCCACGTACAGAAGACAGGGATGGACTACGGCTTCCAGAGGGCGTGGGGGATCGTGGCCGTGTTGATCAGTTCCTTGGCGAGCGGCTTACTGGTTGAGGCTACCGGCAGCTTCAGGTGGGTGCTGTCTGAGTGATAGGTACACACACACATACACACACATACACACACACACACATACACACACATACACACACACACACATACACACACACATACACACACACACACATACACATACACATACACACACACACACATACACATACACACACACACACACATACTACTCGCACACTTATACACATACTACTCGCACACTTACATACGTACACATATACACAAACACATACGTACACATATACGCACTAACACATACATACACATACACACATTAACATATACGTAGACAGTAGACACACCTACACATGACTAATACACACACACACACACACACACACACACACACACACAGGTGGCGCCTACAATACTACAGGTACAGTAATTACGTGGTAGTGACATTATCATACAGCTGTTGTCTTAACCCATATACAGTGAAACCTCTATATAACGTACTTCTCTATACATAATCCGTTAAATAAAGGTTTCACAACGGACTCTATTTAACAAACTTTTCTCTAGAGTTCGTTAGATGAAGGTATCACATCTAACGGGTCCTCTATATAACGCACCCCCCCTACAGTTTGATCTTCTACCTGTCAGCTGGACTACAGATAGTGTCAGCAGGTCTAATGTTACGGCTGACGCTGGACTTCAAGCTCCCGACCTCCTCCCTGACCAAAGAAATCCTCAAGCATCTCTGTGAACCTGAGGCCATCATGCTCTTCCTGGCCATGCTTGTGGCGGGTGAGTGAAGTGCTGTCTCTCTGTCTGTGTCTGTCTGTGTGCGTCTGTCTGTGTGTGTGTGTGTGTGTGTGTGTGTCTGTCTGTCTGTCTGTGTCTGTGCATGTGTGTGTGTGTCTGTCTGTCTGTGTGTGTGTGTGTCTGTGCATGTGTGTGTGTTGTGTGTGTGTCTGTCTGTCTGTGTGCGTCTGTCTGTCTGTCTGTGCATGTGTGTGTGTCTGTCTGTCTGTGTGTGTGTGTGTGTGTCTGTGCATGTGTGTGTGTCTGTCTGTGTGTGTGTGTGTCTCCATGTGTGTGTCTGTGTCTGTCTGTCTGTCTGTGTGTGTCTGTCTGTCTGTCTGTGCATGTGTGTGTGTGTCTGTCTGTGCATGTGTGTGTGTGTGTCTGTGCATGTGTGTGTGTGTGTGTCTGTCTGTGTGTGTGTGTGTCTCTCTGTTTCTCTCACTTTCTCTCTCTCTCGTGTTTGTAAAAATGCCACAGTTTATTTAAAAAGGGCATGTAAATTTGTTTAATGCATTTTACACTTATATAGGTTAAGTTAGCCCATGTTGAGATATGTGGTGTTTGCCCAAGTTGAGATACGTATGTTTGCCCATGTTGAGATATGTGGTGTTTGCCCAAGTTGAGATACGTTATGTTTGCCCAAGTTGAGATACGTATGATTGCCCAAGTTGATATAAGTATGTTTGCCCAAGTTGAGATACGTATGATTGCCCATGTTGAGATATGTGGTGTTTGCCCAAGTTGAGATACGTTATGTTTGCCCAAGTTGAGATTCGTATGATTGCCCAAGTTGATATACGTATGTTTGCCCAAGTTGAGATACGTATGTTTGCCCATGTTGAGATACGTTATATTTGCCCAAGTTGAGATAGTTTACCCTAACCATACAGGTATGATGGGAGGTTACGCGGAGACGTATATGTACCGCTACCTGTACAACCTGGGGGGCAATACCGTGTTGATTAGCCTCACCGTGACCTTGGGGGCGCCCTTTGAGTGTTTCTTCATGCTCGTCACTTCCTACTTCGTCAGTTTGATAGGACACGCCCCCTTGATCATGATTGGCCTGTTTGCCTACGTCATCAGACTTCTGGGTGAGTTATGCCTCTGTAACCTGAGCATATGACCACACATTATGCATCTCTGTATGAATATTTAGATACATACTGAATCATAATAAACTTGTATGATGATTTAACTGAATGAATATCAGTGTTAATGCCCATACAGGTGTAGTGAATGGCGCTCTTATTCATCCATGTATTGACTGCAGGGATGAGCTTCTTGAAGGACCCGTGGGTGGTACTGTTGCTGGAGATTGTGGAGTCTATGGCCAATGGGTCACTCAACACCGTGGCCATCCTCTACTGTACTGTACTCTTCTCCATGGAGTCTATTGCCTCCTGCCGGGGGCTCTTAGGAGTCATGAACAATGGTGTTGGTGAGTTATTATTATTAGTGGTTATTAGTAGTGGCAGTAGTAGTAGTAGTGGTGGCAGTAGTAGTAGTAGTGGCAGTAGTAGTAGTAGTGGCAGTAGCTACTTATGTATTAGGATATTTAATATTAAGGTAATAAAATGGCGGCGAAGGTGTGGCTATTGGGGGAGGCTGGAGACCACGATTAAAAAAAATAGTTTCAGTAGTAGTAGTAGTAGTAGTATTTAACTTCTTATCAGCTTATTACTCATTCGGACAATTGGTCTGCTCTGCGGTACTTTTTTTTTTACCTCTATTGTCCAGTGATAGAACAGGAGGACACCAAAGTGGCCAGAGAAAACCCGCCATGTTTGCTGGGGTCACACGGGATAACGTATCTGTGGAGAGAGAATCATACATGGTGACTGGGTGTTTGTGTTGTGGTAAACTTTGATTAATATTACGTTTGTGTTGATGTTATAGATGAGCAGCTGGATATAGTAATCTTGAGTTGCATAAACTGTAATACTGTATATTACAGGAAGGCTGCTGGGTACATTACTCGGGTCAATAATTCGTGAAGCCCTGGGAGACAGGGTCACCTTCAGGGTGCTAGCGGCCGGTGGCATGGTCTTCTGCGTCTTATACTGCCTCGCCTTCTGTCTCCTGAAGAGATACAGGTATAAGGCCTTCTCCGTGAAGACTTCCTCCCTGCCTGCACGTCAACAGGCCTCCAGACAGGGTGCTACTAATCATGCATGTAATGTTGATGAGTAGGGCGTGGCAGGGCATGGCAAGGGGCCCGGAGAGAGAATAGTGAGAGGCCAGGCAGTACCTCCTCAGCACTTAAAATGGTCTTCCAGCCATATATATATATTCCTGTGTTTACTGCAACAAGTTGAAAAGTAAAGTGTTAAAATTATTAACTCAAAAGATTCCCAAAGTCAGCTGATCACTGACTGGTCTGTAATAATCAGTTCTCCTCTATTGGTTTTTGGTGAGCAGGTATAATCAACTACCTGTGTTCTAAAGTATTAATTTACAATACTTACTGATAAAATATCTTTGATATTTCTGTTCTTGTATACAGTATAATTGCTTGTATATATATTACTTTGGTTCAACCAGAATACAGTCATCCTCTGTATTTAGGAGTAAGTGCATAATAATGCAGTACTCCTTCACTTGTAATGCTGTAATTTTGTTTGGTCCGAGATACACCAAAGACTGCCAGTTACTGAGACCGTCCAAAGGATGGCCCTTAACCTGGTGTTAGTACCTACACACCAAGAGAGGCTACAATGCCTTCACCTTCCTAACATACACTATAGAAAGACAAGGGGTGATTTAACATAATCTTACCACTTATCAGCACCTTAAGAGGACATTACTAACCCAAATGTACGTATATGGAGTTAGCTGATGGCTGACTTACTATAGGACACAGTCTCCAGTTAAAGAAACCACTTCAGATTATAATTGTTGTTAATTTAGTTCACCGCCTTAAGTTAAAGAAGCTATCAGTTCAATTGCTACTGATTATTATTTTATTTATTTTTATTTACACAGTTACGTCTTTGGTTATTGTTTTTGGTATTTAAATTAATAGAAGTTTTATTATTATCCGGATTTTTATTTCTTCCCGAGTTATATTTGTAACTGATGATTACAACTACTAACAATTTGGCTAAGTTCTCTCGATCACCTGAAGCTTACCCCCCCCCCTGTTTATTTTACCTGATAATTAAACACCTTAATGCTACCTGGGGGTGTTAGGTTAAGTTTGTAACAGGGTAAATCTTCAGGTAGAATAAGCTTGGGGATGAAGATTCAGGTGGAATAAGCTTGGGGCAAAGCTTCAGGTGGATAAGCTGGGAGGTGTTGTGCTTATACATGGTGTAATTTGATTGAAATGAGACCTGTACTATCATCACTACCACTATTACCATCCTCAACTACCACCACCACCACCCCCAACCATCACTACCACGCCCCTCTACCACCCCTACCACTACAACACCCTCTACCACCCCTACCACTACAACACCCTCAACCACCCCTACCACCACAACACCCTTAACCACCCCTACCACTACAACACCCTCTACCACCCCTACCACTACAACACCCTCTACCACCCCTACCACTACAACACCCTCTACCACCCCTACCACTACAACACCCTCTACCACCCCCTACTACAACACCCTCCAACCACCCCTACCACCACCACCACCCCTCTACCACCACCACCACCCCCAACCATCACTACCACCCCTCTACCACCCCTACCACTACAACACCCTCTACCCTACCACTACAACACCCTCTACCACCCCTACCACAACACCCTCTACCACCCCTACCACACAACATTACCCTCTACCACCCCTACCACTACAACACCCTCTACCACCCCCTACCACTACAACACCCTCTACCACCCCTACCACTACAACACCCTCTACCACCCCTACCACTACAACCCCTCCTACCACCCCTACCACTACAACACCCTCTACCCACCCCTACCACTACACCCTCTACCACCCTACCACTACAACACCCCTACCACCCCTACCACTACACAACACCCTCTACCACCCCTACCACTACAACACCCTCTACCACCCCTACCACTACAACACCCTCAAACCACCCCTACCCCTACAACACCCTCCAACCACCCCTACCACTACAACACCCTCTACCACCCCTACCACTACAACACCCTCTACCACCCCTACCACTACCTCAACACCCTCAACCACCCTACCACCACAACACCCCTCTACCACCCCTACCACTACAACACCCTCTACCACCCCTACCACTACAACACCCTCAACCACCCCTACCACTACAACACCCTCAACCACCCCCGCCCCTCTACCACCCCTACCCTACAACACCCTACCCTGCACACTACAACACCCTCTACCACCCCTACCACTACAACACCCTCACTACCACCCCTACCACTACAACACCCTCTACACCACCACCTCCCACTACAACACCCTCAACCACCCCTTCTACCTCTTACATCATCACCACCACCTCTTTTAATACCTTCACCATGGGACAGGTGGTCCAAAATGAGGCCCTAAGATTCGTCACAGGTAAAAAATACCCCTTCTCCAGAACCACAGCTGAGACACATAGAGACCTGAGAATAAAACCCATCAACCAGCAGCTGCACACCCTGGCCAGCAGAGTCTGGCAAAAGATAGAACGATCAGAGCAAGAACTCCTTCAAAGACTCCCACCAGACAACAACTATACATGGTTCCCAAAAAATTAACAAATATCAAAAGGTCCATTACCACCCCCGATCTATACTGACAGGCAATAGACTACCTTCCTAGACCAGCATCCGCCAGTAGAGTTGGCGGAATATGAAATAAGGCCCTCAAAACACCCATATACTGTATGGGAGGGTAGGCTGTCTAGTTCCTGTACCAACAGACAATAACTCAAGAGTCTCAGTGCGTTTTTCCTCAGCTGAGAAAAGATGCCCCGCCCCCTCCTCAAGAGTTACAGCTGATTGGCTGTTGCAAATCTGTCCGATTTTGTCCTGAAGTAATGATGTATTTCTAAATGAGTTTATTCATAAAGATACATACATTCATTATTTCAAACCTAAGTATGTAGGAAGTTTATCAGAAGTATTATACATGAATTAACTGTTAAACTCGGGTAGCAAATTTACACTTTCAGAGGATGCATTTAATATATACTTAAGTTTACCCACAATAAGGCATACTAAGACTAATTACTTATCAGTAATACTACATTATGCAAAAACAGCATTTTAAAAGATCAGAATCACATTGAAATACAGTATTACACTGTGGGGTATGTGATATTTGGTGTTCACTCAGGATGGGATGGAGAAAGGAAACTCACAATGTGCTCTCTGTATACAGGTTGTATTGGATGTACAATGCAGATTGGTGCTGGGAAGGCAGCATGGTTACAAGCGTGATGTAGAGAGAGCTGGTTGGTGAGGGTGCTCAGAGGAGGACCAGCCCGTGGGTCGCCATGCTCGCCGGCGGGAGCGAGGACTGCCCGGCAGGAGGAGGAGGTGTTGCTGGCTGGTTGGTGTAGGTAGAAAGAGAGAGATCACCACGAGGTCAGGTCTTAAATAGCGGGGGGTTGGCGTGGCTTAGTAGTTGACCCCCGCTCCGTGGGCGGCGCTGGTTGACCTAGACCACGAGGCATACACTGGGGAATTCGTGGGGTTGGCTACTCAGCGACAAACAGCGTTTATAGGGGAGAAATCCACTACAACACGACGGTTAGGAGAGGTGGGAAAAATATGAAGCACAAGCGTAGCTAGGGGGGGGCGGTCCGCCCCGGGCGGCACTTTTGGGTCTGCTCATCACCCATATCTGCAGCTACTGGAGACGTTAATCCATCCCTTTGTATCGGCGTCGACCCAAAAAGAAGAAACATATGTTTGGTGAAGGATCACGAGATGCTGAATTGCCATACGACATTGAATTGAGGAGAAATGTTTTCTTTGTTGGACAGAGTGATCCAAGAAATAACTGAGATTTCAACAGCTTCATGAACTTGCTGAGAAATATGCCTTCCTTACCCCATTGAATCTTTTGGATGATAAATATGAGTGTCAAATAGATCACGATCACGACGACATTGATAAAGAGGAGTTCCTCGTTGAGAGAAAAAGACTTTAGCATTTTGTTGCTGTTGCTGCTATAACTATTAAAGACAGAATACAGACGTGGAAAGAAGGCCCCCTTGAACTTTTGCAGTTTATTCAAAAGTATAACCTTGGGAATTCGGTTCCAAATATAAGTAAACAAATGGAGGATTTGCCTCAAATTGTTAGTGTTGCTACCTGTGAGAGAGTTTTTCGAAACTAAAACTGATCAAGAATTACTTAGATCTACTAGAGCATCTTGCGGTTGACCAATCTTCATATACTGTCTATAGAGCGACAATTGCCAGATGAAATAGTTTTTGACAATGTCATTGAAGAATTTGCCAACAAAAAACAAGAAAAAGTTACTTTGTAGAAAGTTGTGTTTTCATTTCAGAAATAAAGATGGTCCTAAATTTTTTACACTTTTTACTTTTCCCTATCCTATATGTCGTTTTTGCTTTTTGTTTAACTGTTACTTATAAAGTTTAAGTATGTTTCAGGTGTATTTAAAGCATACTATATTTGAGTATGTGAATGCAGTAATAATATTATAATGGTACACAAACTATTATATATATATATATATATATATATATATATAAATAAAGAGTGATCACTGTGTGCAATATGTATTTTTTGTGGGGGCACGGGGGGGAACACACTCTAGATACGCCACTGATATGAAGCAACTTGCCGGCCCCGGCCGCCCTCCTCCCGAGCCACCTGACCTTGGAGCCACCTGACCTTGGAGCCACTCTACCTTGGAGCCACTCTACCTTGGAGCCACCTGACCTTGGAGCCACTCTACCTTGGAGCCACCTGACTCACAACAGCATCAGAGCCGAGAGGGTCAGGACGTATCTCTCACCACCACAACATAAGTAAATAACCACCTCCCACTGATCTTTCCTTTATAATCACATTAAATACAGATGTTACTTATTCATATATATTGTTAAATCATATAAAACCCCAAAAAGTGTTTCTGGTTCACAAATAGGGTGGTGGACGAGTGGAACAAGCTTACCAACTTTGTAGTAAGTGCTGGAACTCTAGAAAGTTTTAAAAGGAGGCTGGATAGATTCATGGATGACAGAGAGTGGTAGTAACTCTCGACAGGAGCTGCCATGCACAGACCAACCAGCCTATTGCAGACTCCTTATTTTCTTACGTATAATAACGGAGGTAGCGTATCCCAAATTTTCCCGTACACGTCACGGGGCCAATTAAAAGCGTTTTTTTAAACCAATTAAAATGATTTGTGGTTTAATTCACGATATTTTTGGCCCAATCTAATTCGATTTTTATTGTGGGTCTCATATTTCCAAATTCAAATTCATTTCCGACCATGGAAGTCTGCGATGGGTGTCACTTCAGTTATATGGAGCTGACTGAGAGTTTTGGGGAAAAAACGAAGAAACTAAAGCATTTTTTGATCTCGTGGTGTTCTCCCGACCTCAGTAAAGTGTACTAGTGTAAGACTGAAGGTAAATATTGTCAAGACCAACATATGTGGGGTTGTGGTAACTCGTCCCTTATCCCAAAGACAAGGAAGAGACGGCCAATAAGGTAAGAAATAAGTGAATCCATCATATGGTGAGAGTCAGTCAGTTAGGTTAGGTTTGGTTTTCTCTTGTTTTTTTGTGTATTTTGTATTAGGCTTTGCCATTATTTATTTTCGGAAAATGCCCCACAAAAAAAAAAAAAAAATCCTGAAAAAAAACGACCAATTTCCGTCGTAAATGAAGGTCCAAATCGTCTAATCACCCACAAATACACTAGAAAAATACATTTTTGACTTACTAACAGTTGGGTGCGCTTATACAAACTTACCCTATTTTTTTGTTTATTAACTATTAAGAGTATTTGGAACAGTAGGATATAGGAAATATTGGTTAAGAATCTATGTGTTATTTACTGTTTAACTACAGTGAAGGTATATAAATTATGTATGTAAATAATATAGATTTATTTTATTTATATATTTACATAGTTTTGGGTTTTGCTGTCTGCCAGGGTGAGATGTTGGATCACCCGAAGAATCTCCGCCCCAGCTTCTTCCACCTTAAGATTAACCACCATAATGCTAACCTAACCTAACCACATGCAACCTGACATAACCTTTTAACCTACCTAACTCTTAAGTTGGACATGAGGGTAGTGAATAATTACAGACAGAATATCAAATGAACCTAACCTAACTTTTCTAATTTATTTTTTCCTTCACTCTCATTTCTACAACTTAATTTTACATTTTTTTTTCAGCGTTGACGACCACCGGCACAGACTCGACCCCTTCACTCTCATTTCTACAACTTAATTTTACATTTTTTTTTCAGCATTGACGACCACCGGCACAGACTCGAACCCTTCACTCTCATTTCTACATCTTAATTTTGCATTTTTTTCCAGCATTGACGACCACCGGCACAGACTCGACCACCACAGTATATCACAATGAAAGATATATCGCAAATTACCCTCAGGTCTGGTGCCGTGTTGCCTGTAGTGGGTTTAGGTACTGGTAATATTGGCAGCAGAGTCAGGGTAAGTATGGTGGTGTCCCTGGGGGAATATTTGTTCTGTAATTTTCAACTGATATTAAAGATTTTTATTGATAGATAAGGTTGGTAGGTATTTGGGAGGGATGAGGTTAGGTTTGACTTGGTTAGGTTAGGTTAGGTTAGATTTTGTTGTTAGGTTAGATAAGGTTAAAGTGGTTAGGGTAGCTTTAGTTAGGTTGGGTTAAGTTAGGTTAGACAAGGTTAAAGTGGTTAGGGTAGTTTTAGTTAGATTAGGTTCGAGTGGTTAATCTTTAAGTGAAATAAGCGAGGATAGAGATCTGAAAATTGTTGAGGTAATCCGTAATGTTTACACAGTACAGTGAGTTCATGACATACGAACACGATCCCAGTACATTTGTCTGGACTAATAAGACGCTCCTTAACCCCACAGAAGCCAGGTGGGTCTCGGGAGGAAGTCCATACGGCCATCAACGCCGCCCTCGAGTGTGGCTACAGACATATAGACACTGCCACGCTCTACCAAAACGAGGAGATGATTGGTGAGGTCCTGCATGAATGGCTCTCCTCTGGTAAGGTGAAGAGAGAGGAGCTCTTCATCACTACTAAGGTAAGAGTGTGCTAATTGGTTCACCTTGGCTTGTTTCATGTGATGGTTAGACACCTTAATGCTACCTGGGGGTTAGGTTACCATTAGTGTTGGTAAGGTTAGGTTACCATAAGTGTTGGTAAGGTTAGGTTACCATTAGTGTTGGTAAGGTTAGGTTACCATTATGGTGATTAATCTTAAGGTGACTTGTGGTGTAATGGTCAGCATGCTCGCCTCCCAAGTGAGTGGACCCGGGTTTGATCCCCAGACAGGGTGAAACTATGGGCAAGTTTCTTTATGCCATTTGCCTCTGTCTACCCAGTAGTAATTGGGGACCTGGATGTTAATCAATTTGTGGGTGTGTTCCAGTGTAATTGTTAGCCAGTGCTGTTGGCGAGTTGTCCGGTCTTCTCGGACTATTCCTTGACACTGGATCAGGCAACTCATTAACTTATGGTGTGGCTGTTAAGTTGGCAACAGCTTCTACACCTTAAACAAATTCTCGCCCATAATAATAATAATAATAATAATTAACGGTTTATTGAAAGAGCTTGGCAGCCAGAAGGCTGAAAATATACAGTTACATATTTGGGGAATGGGTTACGAATTACAAATAATATACAAGTGACATAAGTGATACAAATAAGACATATAGTAACTTAGATGGGGATCAGCTCAAACTACAGTTCATTTCAACATAGTGACAGTGTAGGGAGCAGTGTTTACTGGGAGTGAATACACTGATTTATTACATGTTATTGATAATTTTTACAATGGTTGGGACTGGGCTGTTCTTATAGCGATCAGTTCGTGCACGTATGGGCTGGATGCGGTTGTGGTGTCGAACAGCAATTCTCGGACAGGGGATCTCAGGTGGTAGTAGGGCCCTTGGGATGGCCATCCTCGTTACAGGAGGGGCAACCATTTTTAATCTTAAGGTAATAAACTGGGTTAGGTTAGATTAGTATTAATGTTGAAAAGGTTAGGTCAGCATTAGGGTGGTTAATCTTAAGGTGAAATAAGCTGGGGGGAAGGGGACTAATTTTCACAGGATCCATTTATCTTTATACTGTACTATATATTTTCTTAAAGACATAATAATAATGTAACCTTCCCTACTGCCTTACCCTACCTTACCCTACCTTACCCTACCCTACCTTACCCTACCTTACCTTACCTTACCCTACCTTACCTTACCCTACCCTACCTTACCCTACCTTACCCTACCTTACCTTACCTTACCCTACCTTACCCTACCTTACCCTACCTTACCCTACCTTACCTTACCCTACCCTACCTTACCTTACCCTACCTTACCTTACCCTACCCTACCTTACCTTACCCTACCCTACCCTACCTCACCTCACCTCATTATACCCCTGTATGATGAGGGCTGTACTATTAACACTCCAACATAGATTCTAACCCCTGTAATGAAACACACCATTTGGATGTACCCAGTTCTTGCCCAGTCATATCTGTCAGCATAGATGGAGACTTGGCCATCTGCATAGGTCAGTTGTTTCATTGTTTAGTGATAAGGGTCTCTTAATCAGCCTGCCAGAAGTACTTGCGTCTGATAAAACTGCACAATAGTAACCTCCATTGGTGTATTGTCTGTTTAATTTAGTTTTATTTATCTTTTCATACTCTTTATCAGCTTACTTACCATTCTGGCATTTGGTTTATCCTCTGTTACTTTGACCTTTTTTGTTCAGTGTTAGTGCAGGAGGAAACTAGTACCCTGAGAAAACCTGTGGTGATTGGTAGTGAGGGTCACACTGGATAACACCCTTCTCACATTTGTATTGGCCCAGGACTGAACCAAGGACAGGTGGTGAGAGGTATACATGTGACTCTTGACTGATGATACAATAGCACTGTAATCTGCCTCCAGGATGCAATCATTCTGCCAAATTCTAAAATAGATATGTTAGGCCTTGCCATTTCTCTAATATGTCATGGAAGCCACACATCCGCATCATTGCTAAAGCTGCCTCCTAAAAGCTGGGAATGCTGTACAGATGCCGTAGCTACTTCACTCCAAGTATATAAGGGATTTATTCGTCCTAACTTGAAGTACTGTTCTCATATCTGGGGTGGCTCTTCTGTCCTACTGTTAGATAGGGTGGAATCAAAGGCATTTTGTCTTAACTCTCCTCCTTTAGTCGATAATCTCTCTTCTCTTTCTCTTCACTGCAATGTTGTTTCGCTCTCTCTCTTTTACAGGTACTTTAACAGGCAATGTTTGGTGGATTTGGCATCCTGTGTATCGCCGGCAAGGCCGTGGGCTCGTAACACACGTCTTGCCCGCGGTGCCCACCATTTCTCTGTGGATGTCGGTCACACTAGAATAACCCGCTTTAGTACCTCCTTCTTTCCTCACGCAGCCAAACTGTGGAATGCTCTGCCTTCTTCTGTGTGTCCATACTCATACAATTTGTCTCACTTCAAAAAGTTGGTTTCCTGGCATCTTTGTGGTGTAGATTAATACAGTACAGTATATTTATCTTCTATTTCTAATTTCTTTTTACTCTTTATTTTTTTGCCCCCTAAGCCCCGCTGTGGGTCAATGACCTGTGCCCGGGTGAGCTGTTCCCTGTAAAAAATAAAACCTATATTGACACAGTATTTACCATTTTAACCATTAAACAGCGACCATCATCGGTGAAAGTTCCTGGTACTTGGGGGGGGTTAGGTTAAGTTTGGTTAGGCTAGTGTTGCTGTGGTTAATTATCTGGTGAAATAAGTTATGGATGTCTAATCTTCAGGTGAATTAGGTTGGTATATCTAATTTTTGTGTGATTTTAAAATAGTTCTTTCCAATATATTTATCTTAAGGCCTCATATTATTATTCCGCCCTCAACAGCTGCCCAACAATGGAAACCGAAAAGAGGATGTGACCAAGTTCTTGAAGAAGTCACTGGAAAAACTACAGCTGTCTTATGTAGATCTGTACCTCATTCACTGTCCTGTTGGCACTAAGAGTAAGTACCAGGAATGTTTAACTTCTACTTATGGTCACCGTCCTGTTGGCACTAATACTGTACCATAAACTAACCATGTATAATACTGTACCATAAACTAACCATATATAATACTGTACCATAAACTAACCATATATAATACTGTACCATAAACTAACCATATATAATACTGTACCATAAACTAACCATATATAATACTGTACCATAAACTAACCATATATAATACTGTACCATAAACTAACCATATATAATACTGTACCATAAACTAACCATATAATAACCCTAGATATTATTTCCAGGTATTGATGTGGAGTTTTGTTGGCTATTTAACTGACTGGACTATAAAGGTCATAATTAAACTGCAAGGAACAGATCAACAAGAAGATACAATAGTGAATTTTTTTACTTTTACCCTAAATTTATTACCAACAACATAATTCACTATGAAAAAAGTTGAAGGCATAGTTGGTGTTCCTTCTGCCTGTAGTGGGATTTCAAAATTCATTCATTTCTATCCCGTCAAGGTGATGATGACGAGGTGGCATATCCGCTTGACAGTGACGGAGCTGTCATCCTCGACATGACAACCGACCTCCTTGCCCTCTGGAGTGCGATGGAAGAGCAGGTAATACTATACTTTGTAACTCTAACCTCTGCACCACATCACCTAACCTATGCACCACATCACCTAACCTCTGTACCACATCACCTAACCTCTGCACCACATCACCTCACCTCAACGATGTGATATTATTCCAGGTTGACGCTGGGCGAGCAAAAGACATTGGACTCTCAAATTTCAACAGCCAACAGATAGAGAAAATCATGAAAGGTAATGATGATTAAATCTATTGAAATGGTCAAATTAGGGATTAAATCGTGAAAAATAATGACAAATAAACAGTATTGGAGAGGTGGAAATGTCATAAGATTAATTAATTTTTCTTTTACCTGTAGTTGCCCGCATCCCACCAGCCATTCTACAGGTGGAAGTCCATGCATACCTCCTACAGCGACCACTACGAGCGTTATGTCAGCGGCACAACATTACCGTGTGTGGGTTTATGCCGCTTGGAGCACCACACCGAGCGAAGGAGTGAGCGTTGGGTCTTGAATGAGGGGTGAATCAACAATGCCCATATAGATCATGCCCATATAGATCATGCCCATATAGATCATGCCCATACAGACGATGCCCATACAGACAGTGCCCAAATACCTGAGTGATGTTGTTTGAATTCCCTTGGTCAGTGTTCAGCATCTGGCTTTCCCTATATGAATATTATGATCCCTTCCTCTACGGTGTAACTTAATGGACTTTTCTCCATATAATCCCTTAGATTTTTTTATATCTTATGGACCCTCGATATAACGGACTTTCATGTCTATAGTTCGCTATATGAGGGTTTCGCATCTAATGGACCCTCGATATAATGGAATTTCATGTCTATAAATTGTTATATGAGGGTCTCTCATCTAATGAACCCTCGATATAACGGACTTTCATGTCTATAGTTTGTTATATGGGGGTTTCGCATCTAATGGACCCTCGATATAATGGAATTTCTCCTCCATATAGTCCGTTAATTAGAGGTTTGACTAGTGTTCAAATCTCTACCCATCTTTATTAATTTATTATGACCTCTGAGATGATGAACAGATAAATTAATATCTAAAATTTAAATCCTTTTTTTTCATCTCCTCAGGACTGACGAGTTCCCTCTCCTATTAAATCATCCAGTGGTGACCGAGATTGCGGGTCGTATCAACGTGACCCCCGCTCAGGTCCTTCTCTGCCACCTCCTACAGCATGATATTGTTGTGATCCCCAAGTCAGCCAACCCTCAACGCATCAAGAAAAATTGTCAGGTTTGGCCATGATATATAAGATTAATTTTTTTTATTTGTGCTGTACCGGGTTTGATTATTGATCATTTCACTCCATATAAATTTACTTGTCATTTAGATGGTTAGCAATGCCCCATTTTAACTCTTATTGTGGGGATTATGTTAATGTTTCATGGTTTAAATCTTTCTTCTCTTTTCTCAAGTAGTTTCTCCTTCTCTCTTTAATAATCATCCTTCCCTCATTTTCTGTGGCAGGTGTTTCATTTTGAGTTGACCCCAGAGGACATGGCAGCTCTCGATGCACTAGACAGAGGCGCAGAGAGTCGAGTGAGCAATTTACTCTACTACAAGGGGTAAGCGAATATCTCCCTCTTTATAATAATTGCTGAAGATGAATCCAAGCTCTTGTAGGAATGTGGGAGGTCATTGATTAAAAATGTGGGAGGTCATTGATTAAAAATGTGGGAGGTCATTGATTAAAAATGTGGGAGGTCATTGATTAAAAATGTGGGAGGTCATTGATTAAAAATGTGGGAGGTCATTGATTAAAAATGTGAGAGGTCATTGATTTAAGTCTTTCAGTGCAATGTCTGATGGGTTTGTTAGATAGATAGATGGCTTATTCACCGAGATACAGTATTAGGTAAGTAGATGGATAGATAGATTCTTATTTACCAAGATTGTCGCGTGAGTCTGTTGCATAACCTAACACAAGTGAATAATGATTAATAATATTGTTTAATTACAGGCATTCTGGTCTAGTCTTATCCTCATTCATGTACTGTATAACACTGTAATGTATAACAGTTCCAATTCTCTTCTCAGAATCACTCGGCATCCAGAGTTTCCCTACCACCTGCCCTTCTAGACGATATGTGGTACAGGTATACTGAAAGAGACCCCTCATAACCCATCTTCAGGGGGGAATAAGTGCCCTGTTTTTAGTCAGGTATTGATGGGAATGTTTTGTACCAGATTTATTTGAAAGGTAGAATGTTTATGAGAAATGTTGTCTTAGGATGGGAATGTTTTGTACCAGATTTATTTGAAAGGTAGAATGTTTATGAGAAATATTGTCTTAGGATGGGAATGTTTTGTACCACATTTATTTGAAAGGTAAAATGTTTATGCTGGTGGGAAAATTTATCAAGAAATAAATATATGATAGGAAGAAAAAATTACTTACCCATACCTATAGAATTAACTTCAACCCTTAAATTGTGATTATGGAAATACTTGGCTATCAAAGTCTGTGTAAAAGGAGATGATAAATAAACAAAAACATTCTTATGGAGTATTGTTAGAGATGTGTGTGTGTGTGTGTGTGTGTAAAGGCCAAACATAGAACACCACTTAATACAAGTCACAACTTAAGGGGTCAAATACATCATCACTTTTTATAAAATTGCTGAGCTATTAAATGTGTATTGTTTCTCCCATTAATTTATTACCTATTAAAATAAGTTAATGTCTCTATTTAACAGGACTATAGAGAGAGAGGAAAGTCCATTATATCGAGGGTCCGTTAGATGTAAAACCTCTATTTAGCGAACTATATAGATATGAAAGTCCATTATATCGAGGGTCCGTTAGATGTAAAACCTCTATTTAGCGAACTATATAGATATGAAAGTCCATTATATCGAGGGTTCATTAGATGTAAAACCTCTATTTAGCGAACTATATAGATATGAAAGTCCATTATATCGAGGGTCCGTTAGATGTAAAACCTCTATTTAGCGAACTATATAGATATGAAAGTCCATTATATTGAGGGTCCGTTAGATGTAAAACCTCTATTTAGCGAACTATATAGATATGAAAGTCCATTATATCGAGGGTCCGTTAGATGTAAAACCTCTATTTAGCGAACTATATAGATATGAAAGTCCATTATATTGAGGGTCCGTTAGATGTAAAACCTCTATTTAGCGAACTATATAGATATGAAAGTCCATTATATCGAGGGTCCGTTAGATGTAAAACCTCTATTTAGCGAACTATATAGATATGAAAGTCCATTATATTGAGGGTCCGTTAGATGTAAAACCTCTATTTAGCGAACTATATAGATATGAAAGTCCATTATATCGAGGGTCCGTTAGATGTAAAAGCCCCCATCTAATGGATTATATGAGAGAGAAGTCCCTTATATAGAGGTTTCACAATTGTTTACCCTTTCTACCTAATGACTGGGTGTCGGCCTCGGGAAGTAACACCCTAGGCTGAATTTATAATCGGTGACGTGATCCATTGAAACATAAGGTTAGTAGTTAGGGTTGAGTCATATCTCGAGTTTTGTGATGATTTACATATGAGAACCACAGGCTTCATTTGTTGCAGTCTCTCCATATCCGCTTTTGGCTTTCAACTTCAAATTTTAACTAATATCCTCAGTATATTTTTGTATACAGTATAGTGATCAGAAAGTCCCTATGCACTTAAAATAATAATTAACAGTATAGAAGATTCTTATTATACCTACATTGTTATTCACCTTGTTTTATCTTGCAGTAAATACAGTATTAAGAATTTGACCTGGCAAATATTGGAAGTGGACACCATTACCACTGTTTACTGTAATTAGAATAAGGTCTATAACAGTGTAGGTATAACTAGGTGCAGTTATATTGTTTATTATAGGTGAATTGGGACCTTTTTTTGACCACACGTTACTATACAGGAGGTCACCGACTTACGAACGCCCGCTGATACGATCGGGGTTCAACTTGAAATTTATAGTACAGTATTTTTTTTTAACTGATTATTTCTATTTTATTTTCATTTACTGTAATTTGTCATTCTATTTCTTTTGTCTTAAATTAAATTATTCTGGATGTATATTAGGACGTAGGCTATGATATGGTGGAATTTTAAACACCGCATGTGTTCTGAATTACGTACAAATCCGACTTAAGAACGTCCTCGGAAACGGAACCCATTCGTAACCCTGTATGTTGGGGTAAATCACAACTACACAATATATTAAAAAAACTATTAAAATTCTTACATTTATCTCTTGTTCGTTGTTTTGTCACATTGATATATCACCAATTTTCTTGTGCTTTTACAGTTTGGTCCACTCATGTACAGGGTGTGTGAGAATACAGAGCAAGCCAAAATACAAGTTGGACAGGAATACAGTTTGGGTGAGAATACAAGGTTGTTGAGGATACAGGTTGAATGACATTACAGGTTAGACAAAATTACAGGGTGAACAAAAATACAGGTTGGACAGGAGTACAGGGTGGGTGAGAATACAAGTTAGATAAAAAATACAGGTTGGACGAAATTACATGGTGAAGAAAAATACAGGTTGGACGAAATTACAGGGTGAAGAAAAATACAGGTTGGACGAAATTACAGGGTGAAGAAAAATACAGGTTGGACAAAATTACAGGGTGAACAACAATACAGGTTGGACAGGAATAAAGATTAGAAAAAAGTACAGGTAAATAATCTAAAAATCTTACATACGGACAACACCCTGAAGACGGCAACAAGTCTTCACCATTCATACATAAAGTCACCTTATAAATTCTAGTTAACATAATATATTCCGATGAGGGGTAAGAGCCTCTGTATGATCTAGTGTGAGCGTTTCTGTTCCTCTTCTCTTGTATATTGCTGAAAGGAAAAACACACAGTTTGAGTCAGTAATTTCACCAGTTTGTGTATTAGTTTATTTGATTAACAACAAAATACAGTAATCAATAATATCTATACTGTATTTATTTACTGTAATGGGTTTTAGAGGGTATGGCATAAACAAAACACTATGATAAGCCTTGTATTTCTTTGTTACAGGTATTAGCTAGAGATGTGGTTAAAGGGCTACGACTATTACAGTGGTCCCTCGGTTAACGAATTACCTTCCATAAGATCTTCATTTCGGTTAACGAACAAAAAATTCGGTTAATGAAATTCTTAGGAAAATTTTTCAACGTGCTTTGGCTTGCTCACTAGCTGGAAGATTAGTCCGCCAATACATACAGAAATCGGTTCTATGGCTTACATTCGTTAACATTGGAGTAAATATCAAGAAGGTTGTACTATTCAATAATTTTCCAAGTTATATATTAAATTTTTTAGTCATTTTAACACTTATTTAACATAATTGCAGTACAGGGAACTAGTTTTTGGTGTGCCCATCAGCCACTTCACTCACCCACCAAGGCCTCAGTTTGTGTCTGTTCAGTGGAGGAAACATCTTGCTTGTGGGTCTCTTGAACACAGAGTACAATTATTGGTCATTCTGAAATTTATTTAACATATTGACAGTATTTAGTGCAGTGCAGTGTTGAATTAAAGAAAATAATCTTGAATTACACCAAGTGAACTTAAAATTTTATGGGTGAAATGGCGGCATGAAGCATGGGGTGATTTCTCTTCCACCCCACTTCCTTCTCTTCTCCCTTCTCCTCCACCCGCACTTCTGATTCCCATCATCATCATCAACCAGGAGCCTTCTACATACTTACCTCAAAGTAAGTTTACTTTACTGCATTTTTTTTTTACTTTGTATGTAATTTTCGGTGAGCTGGAACCAATTACCCAAAATCCCATTGAAACAATGGTCTTGGTTAATTGATTGATTGATTGAAACATTTTATTTAGCCAGAAAAATACAGATACAGAGTGGATAATAATAACAATATTAACATGGCTGAGCCAGTTGAGAACCTGAGCTCTCTTTGAGGCACCTGATATATACTATACATTTATCTCAAGGAAGTATTATGTAACATTTAGTATCATCTGGAATAGTACAATAGCATGGTAGTAATAAGTACATCTCATAATGTTACCACGGTTATCCCTTCAATATTTATTTATTTTATTATTTATTAATTTTATTTTTTATTTATTTATTTTTATTTTTTTTATTTATTTACACATACATATACATTTATACACACACATATATATATATATATATATATATATATATATATATATATATATATATATATATATATATATATATATATATATATATATATATATATATATATATATATATATATATATATACATATACATATACATATACACACACATACATACACATATACCTGTACATATAAATTAGAGTGGAATTTAAAAACATAGGTACAGGTTGTACCTCTCTAGTCCGGCAACCTCGGGACCTGACCGGTGCCGGACCATGGAAATTCACCCTTTTCCTGGATAGATAGTGACTTGTGCTTATGTTTGGAAGCACTAGCACCACTTTCTCTGCATCATGGTCTCTTTGAAGACATATTGAAGGGTTAAATGTCGTATAGTAGCTTCTCAAATTTCGTGAGTTTTTAATTCTTAACGTATTTTATTGGAACACACAAAAAATAAATAAATAAAAATTTTGACGGCGGAAACTTGAATTTCGACGGGTTTGAACGGCCCGCCGACGTGCATAATCGTGTAAACAGCGTCATTTCTCTTATGTACAAAAGATTCATTATTGTTTATTACTGAATGTCTTTTTTATTGAATTAATGTTTATGTGCAAAATGAGCAATACAATTCATTAATAATACGTAGAATATTAAAACACACGAGGAAATGACAGCATTGTTTTCGTTGATTACAAAGCCATTGACTGACTGGTTCTATATATAAAACTGAAGAAAATAAAACCTTGGTTGTAGCTGTAGTAAAATTAATATGGTTGTTTTAAGTAATGTTATTTAATGTTAATAAATGGAACAATAGAAGTAGCTAACAATAATGGTAAAGAAAAGAGAGACTGCTCGTATGTTAGTGCGCACATGTGAAAACATATCGTCATTACTTTACATAAGAATATGAAAGCAACACTTATTTACTGTTCATATATATTTTGATTAATGTATCTGAATTTGTTTTTATTGAATTAATGTGTGTGTGGGCAAAATTAACAATACAATATCTTAATAATACGTGGAATATTAGAGGAGACGAGATGGCTGCCGGCATTGTTTATGTTAAAGCTTATGAAACCAGTGACTGATTGGTTCTACATATAAAACTGAAGAAAATAAGACCCTGAGTTTAGCTGTAGTAAAATTAATGTAAAAAAATTAATATGGTTGTTTGAAGTACCTGTAACGTTATTTAATGTTAATAAATGGAACAATATAAGTAGCTAACCATCAATGGTAAAGAAAAGTGAGACTGCTCGTATGTTAGTGCGCACATGTGAAAACATATCGTCATTACTCTACATAAGAATATGAAAGCAACACTTATTTACTGCTCATATATATTGAAGGGTTAAATGTTGTACTCTGTATAGACAAACAGAGAGAGAGAGAGAGAGCAGCCGAACTGCCGGATGTAAACAAACCTTAATTTCCCGCAGCTTTGTTTTTTTTTTTAAGGGGATTAGCCCACCCGGGCATAGGTCACTGACCCACATTGGGGCCTGATGGGCAAAAATTTAATACTCCTGTAATAATAATTCAGATAAGTAAAAAAAAAAAAAAAAGAGCTGCCTATCTACCTATTGGACAAACTAAAATCATTCCGGACCACAGAATGCCGGACTAGAGAGGTACAACCTGTATAAAGGGGGAGCAGTACAACCTGGGTTGTACAGTAATAAGGTTGAACAAGAGGACAGAGCTTTCAGGATTATGTCTAGTTGGCAATTATGTTTATTGCAATGGTAATTACTTATTTATTTACACGATAATTTCCGATAAAATGGATTTGATGGTACAATAAAAGCAGGTACTGTAAATATAGTAAGTGTTACAAGAAATATTAATACATCGACAATAGATTTTTTTAGAGATGATTTAAAGGAAGGGAGCGTAGTCTTTGCTCGGATGGGTGGGGGTAAGTTGTTCCATACCTTCACACCATGATATTTTATGGAGGTCTGGGACCGAGAGGAGTGCAAGGGGGGTGGTCTTAGTAGCTCTGGGTGCCTTAAGTTGTATCTCTGATTATTCTGGAATTGGAAGCAATTATTGTCAAGCAAGTGATTGATAGATTTGTAAACACAGAGGGCACAGCAGTAAGTGTTAATATCCTCGAATTTAAAAAATTTCAAAATAGCAAATTTTTCGTTTGTGTGATCTGTTTTTTTCAAGTAGGTCATTGTCCGTACAACTCTCTTTTGTGCAGTAACCAGACCTTCTGGAACGAATTGTGTTCGTTAACCGAGGGACCACTGTACTTCTTTTTTTTAATGTGGTCTCCAGCCTCCCCCAATAGCCACACCTTTGCCGCCATTTTATTACCTTAAAATTAAATATCCTAATACATAAATAGCTATCCTGGCTGTGTTGAGGGAGTTGAGCCGCAGATCTATGGGGCATTCAGTGACCACTATCACTACTACTACTGACCAGGTTTAGTGCGCACGCCATGAGTAAAGCTCTGGTAGGAATGTTCATTATAGCAGGGAAGGTTATCAGAAGACGGCCATCACTGTGTACCAAGCTGCCCGTGTCGTGAGGGAACCCAGTGGGCACGACCTGTAGGTGATAACTTGTATCTAATAGTTTTGAAGTTGTTTGGATCACCTGAATATTAGACACCCCAGCTTATTTTGCAGAAAGATTAGACATCCCAGCTTATTTCACATGATTAGAAACCCCAGCTTATTTCACATGATGATTAGACACCCCAGCTTATTTCACATGATGATTAGAAACCCCAGCTTATTTCACATGATGATTAGACACCCCAGCTTATTTTGCAGAAAGATTAGACATCCCAGCTTATTTCACATGATGATTAGAAACCCCAGCTTATTTCACATGATGATTAGACACCCCAGCTTATCTCACATGATGATTAGACACCCGAGCTTATTTCACCTCAAAAAATAAATATGAAAAATCCAGCCAGTCAGCCAAATACTGAACTGTACTTTGCTATACATACTCAACTGTATACCTGCATTGTGTATATACATGCTCAACTGTATACCTGCATTGCATATATACATACTCAACTGTATACCTGCATTAATATTATATACACTGG